TGATTTCGAACAGTGTTGCCGTGGTTACTAAAAATAGAAATTTCTGTGAAATTAATTGTTTCAAAATCCTACTCCTCCTACAGTTTTAGTCTGATTTCAATATAACTTGGCACACAAGTAGACTACACTAAGATACACAATTCGGTATATTGGTTTTCGATTTTTATGAACGATGTTGCCATGTTTACTTAACACAGAACTTTCTGTGAAATACTTTCAAAAATACTACTCCTCCTACAGTTTTGTTCTGATTTCAATATAATTTTGCATAGAAGTAGACTACACTAAGATACACAATTCTATTTATCATTTTTTGATTTCGATGAACATTATTGCCTTGTTTACTAAAGATAGAAATTTCTGTAAAATACTATCAAAATGCTAACCCAAATACAGTTTTAATCTGATTATAATATAACTTGGCACACAAGTAGACTACACTAAGAACTAGTGTTGGCAACGAGTACCCGGTTAACCGGTTAACCGTCGAACGATGCGAGTATCGGTTAGTAAAACTGCTATCCGGTTACTCGCATAAAAAAAATTACATAGTAAATGCATATAAAATGATTGTTTTCTAGTTTATAAATGTATATACTTACACATTTCCCTAAATTTAGATACCGTTAGACTTTTTGATTAGTTTTCACAGTTTATATAGTTAATAGCTTTGATTGCTTGGGGGTATACAACTTTTGAAGGCCTGAGTTATGATTACCTCATTTGATAATTGAACTTAACGAGATGCCGCCTCAGACAAATTAAGCTTGGATTGTAACTGTAAGAAAGAACAGTTGATTCAAAATCTTAACGAAAATTAACTAATAATTACGGAGTATGTAATTATTATTCTCCTTGATAGCGACATTTCGGAGGCTGAAAAGGAAAGCATCAGGAAAGCAATTAGTGAGACGGTGATTGACGATGTTTTTATTTGTCTTCTTCGTGTGTCAAATTTCTTATTTTCTTTAATCTAAAATCTAAATTCGTTTACAATATCGCATGTGTGTATTGTAAATATAATGTCCAAATACAGTATATTTGTGAATTACTACTAACGATAAGTAAAGCATAAGATGAATAAAAGATGTGGATATTTTTTATAAAAATCAAAATTTCGATAACCGGGTACTCCATCGAAAGATGAAGCGAGTAACCGGTTACTAAAAATCGTCCGATTTGCCAACACTACTAAGAACATAAAGAGACTTAATCAAGGATCATTATTCTATTTATTGCTGTTGTAAAGTTTCAATTCCTAACTGCTTCTTTTCTCTTCCTTTGCTATAAGTAAAAACCAGTAGAGCTTCAGTCTCGACAGAGACTTCTGGTTTTGGTTGTCCTTACAATTATTTGTGAGTTGTAATTTTAGGGAGTTTCTACCCCTGTCTGCCCTATACAGTCGCGAAGTAAGGACTTGATCCTTACATCTCGTGTTCGAATCCCACTGTGCGTTGTAGAGACCGGTCCTTTGGATGAGACCATATAAATCCGGGCCCCATGTCGCAGTAGGGGCTGGCATGTAAAAGATCCCTCCCTGCTCAATGGCCCCGAGTGCCGAGCATAGGACAAAATTTGTAGCTCTCCACTAGCAAGTGGTGGTAACTCTATATGAGTAAAAAATTTTAGAGAGGGACTCTAAACAACAATAAACTTTAGTAAGGCATACCTTATAACTATATTTTGATAGTTGAGGATAGGGTTATCTATTTATTTTTTACTCATGCAGTAAAAATTAAATGAAATGGACAAGTTACAGTTTTGTTAACTTTTTGAAATAGAAATAGAAGACTTGGATGTATACTTGAGATACATTTATTTTTTAAATAAATTAACTTGGTAAACAAAAAATCTTGAATAGGTATTAAAAAAAACTACAATTAGTTTCACTTGGTAAACTTGTGGGAGAAACTTTGCAATATAGCTCAAAGAGAAATAACTCTAATTGTTTCTTGTACAATATGCAGGCCCATCTGACTGAGATCTGATAGATAAAAAAAAAAGATCCACAGTGCCCAGTTTCTCACACATTAAGTTCCTAATTCTTAAATATTTTCAAAACATCGCATGAAAATTTAAATAAAAAAAATAACTCCTTTAATTCTGGAAGAAGAATTTCAGAAAAACATGTTAATATTAGCGCTGCAACTTTATGGGACTTTTTATCCTATTACAAACATGGATTAAATTTTGTGTTTTGGAGAAATAATATGCATATATGCACTGAAGAAGTTTCCTAATTCAGAAGTAGTATGTGTCTGATATTTAATATTTCTGAACCATGTGAACTGAAATATATATAATTAATGGAAAAAAGAACAAAACGTGGGCATGAAATGAAACACAGTTGATAATGGAATAAAGAAATTTTAATAAAAAGTCACGTATATTTTTATATTACATGCTGGAAAAAAGTCATCAAGTACGTGCTTCAATATTATAAGCTAGTGTTTGATACGCAAATTAGGAAAGAATGGCATTTGACTTTTGTCTCGTATTGAACTTACGGTAAACTAATATAAAGCGGTAGATACATGTCATACCTAATTAAGAGAGCAAATAAAAAATCCTCTTTAAAATTGCTCATCATGCAGAGTTACACCAACAAATTATCAGGGTGAGCCGGGAAATAAATTCTATTGAAAGAAAAAGAAAGTCTGACAAAAAAATATAATGGATCGAGGGTTGGATCAAAAGATTCCAGCTAGTTCCCCGAAGCTCAGAGAGAAATAACTGAAGCTTGCTTGAGGGGAACTGGAATCGCCTTAGCTAGACTTCATCAGTGGGAAATATGCAGTAGAATTATAATGCGCACAAGGGAAGTATTAGGTACTCAATATGTAAATAAAACATAGGTTCAATTAAAAGGTATAGGATTTGAATAAATAGTCACTATAGGAAGCATGAATCAGTAGCAATTGTTTTAATAAACATATTAAAATTTTACAGTGAAAAGTAATATCCTCCGCCTCTCACAGCTACTTTACGTACTACATCAAATACGTAACCATATTGATGTCGCAATTCAACGTTGATAACAAGTTACTCATTTCCTGTATAAATTAAGTCCTGCTTCCTTTTATGTAACTTCAACTGAGATGCTTTATGAATATTCATGATTCAATTTGGAACAAATTGGAACTTTGCATATATTTTTAAAAGAAATTGCTATAGTGTTCTAATATTATTGTTTAAATAAATCAAAGGTACTTTGAATGAAAGGAATCGTTCATTTTATTCTGATTGTCAAAGAGAATGAAAGGAATCGTTCATTTTATTCTGATTGTCAAAGAATCGGCCAAAAATATTTATTTACTCTTTTACAGTGAAAAATCAGCAGAGGTTTGATATTGTTGTGTATTTTTTTCAAATATAGTTTCAGAATTATTTAACTTTTTGTAGATGCGATATATGTTTTTTAACTTGATTTATCTGAACAAAGGATTTATATGCCATTGCAATCATGCTTGTATATTTACAATGAATCAGTCAAAGGATGGACAATAAAGCATTTGATTAATGTATTCATATTCAATTTGGTCCTTGCAGGTCAGTAAAGCATCTTTTTTTATATAAACTTTAAACATATCTTATTAAAATTGATAAAATTTAGCATATTATTTTGAAGTTAAATTGGAAATGTAACTTTCTCTGAATGCAGGTATTCATTAACATGTATATTTGCCCCTTCGCAAATTTTCGATGGAAATTTAATTGTCCTATCAAGCATATGCTTATTAAATTGTATTAATTTACAGCATAGAGAGGTCATCTAAGAAATATATATCTGCTTAATTTTCTACTTGTAGATTGAACTGAAATTGTGATTTCTTGTATTGAACTTAAATTGTGATTTCTTGGAATTACAAATGTATCATAACTACTTAGGGAAAAAAGGGCTATATTCGAGAGAAAAAAAATGGCATTATGTTGATGAATACTCCTTCAGTCTGCACTCTGAAAAATAAATTAGGTACCGGTAGATGCCCTGGAAATTAATTCCAATATTCATTGCCATCTATAATCTGCATGCATGTGTCTCACACATAATACTGGAAAAAGATATACAGAAAAGAGAAGAATATTGTTTTCTTCAGAAATAAAAGAACATTGAAGTTCAGAAACAAATCTATTGTATATTACCTCATGCTAAATAAAGCTGTCTTCTTAAAAAAAAAATGAATAAATTTTGTTCTAGAAAGCATAGAGAATATAAAATCTTGCTAGGTTTTAGATCATGTATAATTTGTTGTCTGAATAGAATTGACATTTTTAATAAAGTACAAGACAAGGACCATGCATTTACATATATATAAATGTGAAATTTTACATACATTTATTAATATTATTATGGATCATTTTGATCAGGGTTTTTTACCACAATACCAGGCGAGGATAAATTATGCTATAAATGTTAAAGGAGATGAATAGGAGTAAAAGAGGGATGGTTGGAATATTTATGGGAACAAACTTGTGTTAAAAAAAACAAAACAAATTAACTTATTAAGTGTTCAACTTATTTTTTTCACATATATTATTTTACTATTCTGAAAAATATTTGCTAGATCGAATCACAAAATATTTTATTAGATGGATAAAATGATATGCTTCTTTTTAGATTTATATGCTTTGTGTTTGCATGCTCATATGCTAATTAAAAAAAAAAGATGTTGCACTTAAATTAACTGGTACACAAGTTGTACATCATTGTAGAAAATCAATAAAGTATTCTAAACTTTCTCAATAAATGATTTAAAGGAGTTCTAAAAATATTTAAATTACATTTAATCATCTAATATTGACTTTTAAAAATTCTACTTGGTTAATATGGGTCACTTTGATGTAGGTTACTAGGATTATACACCCATCAGTGCCTAATTACCAGGGCCCTTATAAAAAGCTGGGATCTCTATAGTCCTCCCTTGGGGTGCCCCTTGCTTTCTTATGAGATCTATTTTTAGCTGGTGTTGACCCGGCCTTCACACTGGAGAAGCGGGCCACATAAAGTGCAATGTGTTAAACATGCAGATCTGTATTATACAGGGACATAGTTTAACTCCAGCGGTCAACTCTGTTTGCTCGGTCAGTTAGTGAACCAGGAATTGATCAAACATATCCTTCTCTTCTTACACAGGGCTTTGAATCCTTTGTATATTAAATGACAGTAGCTGCAATATCTCTACTATACCCAGGTTTATAGCTTATTAATGGATTGATTAAGAGTGAGAATTTTATCACAGTGGTGTCAGATTCTAATTGGATCAGTATTTGAAATATTATGTATGTGTGACTGGAAAGAGAAAATTCAGGTCAAGCAGTGTTTATGTGTTTTTTTTCCTGTAAGTGAATTACTGCAGTCTTTAAGCCTAAATTATGCATCTGTGTTAAATGACATGTGAGGGTCATTCAAGTGTGAAAAAGTGCTGGAATTATTATTTACCTGCTTGAATGTGAACTGCAGTAAAATTAGCAGGTACTGAGGTATTTTTATGAATCCGAACTGGAATTCAGTGTTCATTAACAGCACGCCTCTCTCACTTCAGTGATTCCGCAGGTCCCCTAGATGAACTCATGACAACATTGATCACTTGTGAAGAACGTTTTTTGTAGTAAAATCTTCTAGTGTTGTGATTTTTGCAGGTTCACGGAACATTTGGAGCTTTTATTGATTTCTTTTCTTTATCTATTGTGTAAAAATTATCATTTAACATATACCTGTATATATACTTGAAAGGAAAAGGTAGAGGATGCGGCAGTAACTCTTAATTAGCAATTATCTTTTTAGTCAATGTGGATATTAGTGTTTTGTCATTATGGAATCAAAACAAATTCATTTCTGTAAGGATGCCAGGGTCACATTTTATTCGGAGTTGACTGTCGACTGTGAGATCCTGTATCTGTATTGGTAGGGAGATTTGTTATAGCAAGGCTCCTAATGTGGAGACAGAATTTTCTCTGCTAAAGGATATGGTATGGTTCAATGCTGAAACTGACTTAGAACTGGAGAAAAATTCCACTAAAGGTAAACAAGGATAAGTTGATGGTTAGGTCAATGTATCGACTTAATATAAGCAAATTTTTAGCAACTTGCAAATTTTTGCAATTTTTTCCCATAAAGAGCAATTTTTCCCATAAAGCTGGTATTTATTTTTTTAGCGAAAAGTAATTTTTAGCAATTTTATAAAACACATAAAGACAAGGGTAACCTCCGATTTGGAATATTATTAGCGATATTGAATTTTAGCAATCTGGACAACCTCGCTAAAAATGACAAATCTGAATCCTCGTTAGAGTTTCTGCTTAAATCATATAATAGCAGGGTAAGAATGGAATAGCAGGAGACAAAAGAGTGGAAGGGTGTTTTGGGTTTATCCCCTAGCAGAGGGTTGATTGGGAATACCAGAACGAATGATAGGGGAGGTCTTATGGATACACAGATTTTTTTATGATTTCCCAATCATGACAAGGAGCACACAGGGGGTGGGACCGGTTGGCAGGGGATGCTCACTCCTCCATGTCACCTAGTCCCACCTCTGATGTTTTGGAGGTTTGTGTTTGCTCTGCTCCTATTTGGTATCGTTTTATGGACTTCAGAGCTTGAATACTTTCATAATTTCCATGTATTTTATAAACCTGTTATTAGTTATGAAGAAGTTTTAGTACTCCAAGCTTATTTGACATTTGATGGATACATTTGTGAGGAAATTTCGTACGTATTTTGAACTTTAATTGGTAACTCAATCAATAAAAGTTCAATAAGCAGTATGACAGAATCTGTATTTTAATTTGATTTGTAGAAAATGTTCTGATTCCAACACATGATTCATCATGATTATTTTACCAATTTAAAAGAGAGAAATTTATTAAAGGGAGTGGGAGGTCAGTTAGTATAAAATGAAGGCTCAAGTACTGAAACTTTTTTCTTTGGGAAGAACAATATTGTAACCTGAAATGTTCAGACTTTACACCATACTGTTGTTTTTGTCAAATGTCCATTGCTTAATGGTTTTAGAAGGTCAACTGGTTATCACTACAATTAGCTGCCTGCCATATGGATTTAATTAGGATAATCATTCATGGGGTATATTACTTGAACCAGTTTATGATAAAGCATGTAACTTAAAACAGTATTTCCTTGAATTCTAGTTGCCCTCATGGTGCAGTGGTTAGAGCATTCCACTCTCAAGTTGGGAAGAAAGGAGTTGATCCTTTTGTCGCAGGTTCGAATCCCACTGTAGGAAATTTGCAGCTCTCCATCGGCAAGTGGTGGCGTCTCCATACAAGTGAAAAATATTTGAGAGGGGCGTTAAACAATATACAAGCAATCCTTTAATTCTAATAAGCATTGATTAGTTGAAAATATAATGCATAAAACATAAATCAAATATTTTATACATGAAACATTTTATTCTGTTCTGATGTGGCACTTGAGGTTCCTTGATCTTTCTACTGGATAGATATAAACACAATGACATAAGAGTCATAGAATTGAGCACCAGTTGGATTGATTAATGGTTGTATGTTGTTTTAAGTCTCATTCAGATGACACCAATATTCCAGCGATAGAGATTTCTATAAAGTGGAGGCCAGTGGCTTCAAAGTTAGACCCTGAATTGGGCGCTCGGGGGCCATTGAGTAGTGGGAATTTTTCAGCATGCCAATGTCTGCCCAGTGACAGAGAACCTACCTAAGGTCTCCTCCAAAAAAACTGTGGCTATACCAATATTTAATGGACTTAGATCTTTTGTGGTCAGGGTTTGAACCTACAAAATAGCAATCAATCAACCTAAGCTATGGCTATATTGTTATGGTCTATGATCAAATTAATTGCTCATATATTTGACCGATTCTGAGCCATTTTCATCTACATTAACCTGTTCAATTTACATTCTCTAGACATATTTTGCTGTTAATTATGCCCCCCTTCGAAGAAGGGAGGGCATTTTGCTTTGCTGCTGTCTGTCGGTCCACTGAGTGTCCGTTCATTCTCTACACAACCGTTGCACATACTGAAATGAAATTTGGTATATATATATATATATATCAGATAAATATCGAGGTCAAGTGCTGTTTTGGGAATGATCGCGCCATTTTTGACAGAGTTATGTCCCTTGGACTTGTAAAATTCCAATTATTTGCAGTTTTTGTTAATTTTCTTTGCAGAGGTTGCACATACTGGAATGAAATTTAAATTAGTATACAGATTTATCAGATGAATATCTAGGTCAAATTCTGTTTTGGTTACGATCGCACCATTTTTACAGAGTTATACCCTTTTGGACTTAGAAAAATTTCAATTTGGGGGGAGGGGGGCATAAATGTTTTACAAAGATCTCTTGTTAATTTGAAGTTTTCTTCACAAGATAAAAATGTTAATGGACATCAATTTAAAAAAAAAATCCTTTGTTTCAAACAAAAAGTTGCTATCTTAAAATATTACTATTCAGCATTTTTTTTTTCAAAAAGCAGTAGAATTATCCATTTCAGTAATGTTTAAAGGGAGGTAACTCTTAACAATGCTAAATAATATTGCTCATTAAAATAGTTTATTTATTTCTCGTTTTAGTGGCACCCCTGACTGATAACGGATGTGAATTTCCATTATTATTATTGTAAACATATGGTTGACTGTTCATGTATTATTGTACAATATATATATATAAACATAGCAAAATAACCTTGCATCAAAAGCTGAGTATGTGCGTACCTGACAAAATTAAGTGATAATTTGCAGCATTTTTTTAAAATTAAGTGCATTAATTAACGCATTTAGATATGATTATTATAGTAACTGTATGCAGGAATATGAGTCAGGCATGTGTCCTCAAAACTGTCCTAAACTGATGTAATATAATCCTTAAATATGAGATTTTAATTCCCAAAAATCTCACTTGTATAATCATGCACAATTATATCAGCAAAAAATTGGCTCATGAACACAATTATCAATTTTAAAATTTTGAAGAAACGTTTTGTTAAATAGATGTAATTGAATGAACCAGTGAAGCAAATAACCATTTACCATGTTTTTTATGTCATGGAGTGCATGTCATTCAAGTCCCAAAATTAGGGCAACTTTTGTTTTAATTTATTTCTCTGAATTGCAAGTCTTTGTTGCAGTAAAATTAATGAGAAAAGTTTTCAACCTTGTAATATATAACACTGATGAATTAAAATATAGCAGTGTTAACATATTTTTAACAAAGGTGGCGGAAGCAATTTGAAAGTGGGGGGCTAAACCTACAAAAAAAAAGATAAACCCCAATTTTCTTTGCATATATTTTGTATATCTTTGCATAAAAAAGTGGGGGGGGTGGGCTAAGCCCCCCCCCCCAGACCCCGACACCTATGTTTAAAATACTAGTATCTTGTGTCTATGAATTTAAATAATACAGACCCTAAAACGTGCTACTACACTACTTCCATGGTACAGTATGCTTTATGAAGGGTACATTTTGTTTTGTGCATGGCTCATTTCGTTTTGTGAACGGTACAGTACGCTTCTTGCAGGGAATGGTATATTTATACCCCTCTTCGAAGCTTAAAGGGAGGGCATATTGTTTTGCTGCTGTCTGTTGGTTGGTAGGTTTGTCGGTCCACTTAGTTTCTGTTCATTTTCTTTACAAATGTTGCACATATTGAAATGAAATTTGTTATACAGATACCGTATAAGTAGAATTTTTAGCGAGGATCTAATTTTGGCATTATTAGCGAGGGTGCCGAGATCGCTTAAATTGAATATTGCTAAAAATTAATCGCGTTTTATTTGTAACAGCTTCTTTAATGTGAATTTTAAAATCGCTAAAATAACATCTCGCTAAAAACAAATCACCGGTTTTTAAGGACAAATCGCTAAAATTGCATCTCGCTAAAATTTCCACTTATACGGTATATCAGATTAATATCTAGGTCAAGTTCTGTTTTGGGTACGATCGCGCCATTTTTCACAGTTATACTCTTAGACTTTGACAAATTCAAATTATTTGCAGTTTCTGTTCATTTTCTTTGCACAGGTTGCACATACTGAAATGAAATTTGGTATACAGATATATCAGATTAATATCTAGGTCAAATTCTGTTTTGGGTACGATTGCGCCATTTTTTTTACAGAGTTATGCCCCTTGGACTTGGAAAAAATCCACTTATTTGCAATTTCCGTTCATTTCCTTCACAGCTGTTGCAAATACTGAAATGAAATTTAGTATAAAGAATTATCGGATGAATATCTAGGTTAAGTTCTGTTTTGGGTACGATCGCACCATTTTTGACAAAGTTATGCCCTTTTGGACTTAGAAAAATTCCAATTTTGGGGGAGGTGGCCATAAGTGTTTTACAAACATCTCTTGTTCATTTCTGATTTGTAGTAGCACCTTTTAGGGTCTGTAATAAATTCAAGTTGTAAGAACAGGTTAGACAAAAAAATTATTGTGTGTATGGGGATAAGAGGGTTCATAAGCATGACGAACTGTGTTAAGTTTTAATCTTTTCACACACCCCCCCCCCCCACCACCACCACCACCACAAAGACAATTCAAATCCCATCATTTGTATTCAAGAAATATTTATCATTTATTTGATATTAGATTATGAAGATTTAAATGCTTAAATTTCATTTATTTAAAAAAAAACTATTAAATGCAGTTCTCCTTTAAATATTATTTATTCAAAAATTAAAAAAAAAAAAAGTTCTATAATGCCCCACTTTTATGAAAATTAAACAATGTTTAAATTTTTGTCACTGAAGAAGAAAGTCAATATAGATCGAGTCAGTTCGTAATAAATGCTTGTGAAAAAAAAATTAGAGAGAGAAACAATATTACATTTTGAACTTTTAGCATCAGTTTGATCCTTATAGAGTGGTATGTAATGACACATAATTTACGGATTAATATTAATGAAGATTTATTTTCGTAATGATTAAGACAGTGTTTCTTGATATGACAGTCATGGTGCCCACCTCATGCTAAGATCACAACACAGGAGATTAGACAAGTGAACAGAATTAATTGGGTCTTTGTTTTTTATCTTCATTGATTTTTTTTAAGTCATTATCAGGGAATTTACATTAATATGTGAGTCCTTGGAAATTGATTTCCATATTAGATGTGATATTTTTCCGATATGAAAAATTCTGATTTTTAATGTCAATTATCAAAGAAGCTAAATGACCCGGGGAAATCTTTTCTGACAGAAAAGTTCAGCTCTTTGCAGCATCTCTGGGCAGTCAGGTTTTATAAGGATTAATTATGTGGATTTCTCTCAATCTTACTTGATTAGTTTGTGAATTCTATGAATGATGCAAGAAACCTGAATATATTAAAGAGATTTAACAATGTTGGACTGTAATGTCTGCATGTCTTATAAAGAGATTTCTAAAAGAGATTGGACTTCAGAATATCCCAGGTTCTCAACATATCCAACGTGGAGATGATGAGTTTACCTGTAGATCATAAGAGAGTGTGAGAGAAAAGAAACTTCTGAAACAATTATTTTAAGAACAGTTTTTTTTAACACAGATTAAAAAAAAAAAAAAGCTATGTCTTATGGTTGGATTAGTCATATTTTTTTTCTTCATGGGATAAAAGTCTTTCAGTATTCTGGGAAAATAAACCAGAATTTACTAGACAAAGTCATTTTATAAAAGCTTTATTTGCCTCATTAGACATGCAGTCAATAAGTCAAACATGCTTATAACAAGGTACCAGGGGCACTGGTGCGTTTGCTTCAAATTATATCTCTTAAATTTACAATACTGTAAAATTACATATCTTCGTGGGAGCAAATTTTTTAGGTTTAAGAAAAAAGTATCAATATATGGGGATTTGATTTTGTGGATGGAGAATTGTTGAGTATGGTAGTAATGCATATTAAATTTTACATTTCATGGTCGTCATGAATTCGTAGATTTCTCCATACCTCGAAAACAACGAAAAGTAAACCCCCATGAAAGTTAGTGATTTCACAGTATATTTTAAAGTCACAAGAAAATTAAAATCACTTGGCTGTTAAGTTTCAATTCATTATAAGTGTGTTCACTATAAGCTTGTTTTACTGTACTTATTTTAGCATTGTATATGTAAATATTATGTTAGTTTATGTTTCTGTTTCTTAAATACATAACAAATACAAGGATTTCCATTTACAATGAAGCTAAATCTTCTGTCCCTGGCACTTTATAGACTAGCTTGTTTAACATCTTTTAAGTAGGCTTGCAGTTTTGAAATACCAGTGTTTCCATGTTGAAAATGGCAACAATTTTTCAATGAGCTGTGAGTGCATATACATTGTAAGCACTCCACTGGGCATGCTGCTCACAAACCTTGATAGATTTGTAAGTGTGATTAGGTTATGTGCACTACCATTAGATTCCCCTGAGGAAAGAAGTGCAGTTATGTCAATATTTTTGATTATGTATACATAATCATGGCTATGGTTTAAAGGTCTGTAAAGGCATCAGATATGCAAATATCATTCAAGTGGTTGATGAACAGGAAGAAAAATATAATGTGAACTGTTAATGTTTAAGAATTACAGCTGAGCAAAGCAATTAATGGGATTTTTTGTAAATCAAAACATGATATGAAAAAGTCTTTTTTTCTTAAAAGTTTTTTTTAATACCTGCAGCATCTTGCATGGATCCCATTGGAGGTTTTTATACCTAATTGGCATATTATGGGTCCCATTGGAGGTTTTTATACCCAGTAGGCATATTATCACCAAAAAAATGTGATATAAAATAATATATACTGTACGTGTACATAAAGTGGCATATTTAAAATTTAGCGCAATCACTGAGTATTGAGTGGTTAGTGCAATCATGAATTAGTGCTATACATGTCTGTGCAATTTTTTTTTACAGTATTCATGAAAAAGCACATTGTTGTCTATGCCAAAGCCACTAAAATATAAAGCCCACAATTTTAAGTACATGCACATACAGTAATTAACAGCTGCCAGGTATACCTTTACTCAGATGACTAAAAAATCAAATTTCTGATAAATTCTTTCAATCTAAAAACCACCTATTGCACACAAGTACAACTATGATTTCTTGTGTTAAATTTCAATTTCAAATAACTTTCTGTGTTCAAAATGACCTACTTTTCATTATAATATAAATGTGGCCCTTGCAGTATTTCACTGGAAAAAAGACCTCATTTTTCAAACTATGACCAATTTTTTCTTGACTCACAAAATATTACAAGCAACACAACTCTTTAAATAATGGAATATTATAGCAATGGAATAGAATAGTTTTGCTGCATGTATGAAGAAATTTTAAGTACACATACAGAATTATAGTTTGGGCCAAAAAATTAACTGAATAATTATTACAGTGTACAAGTATGATTCTTGTGTTAAATTTCAATTTCAAATAACTAGTCATATTCATATTTTTCCTCATTTTTAATTGAATATTAAAAAAATCTGAATGATAAGAACTCTAAATTATTTATATAGCCTCAAGTTACTTTTGTTGCCCTTATTCTCATGGGAATAATATTATATGGGGTCAATGATCAAATTTAATTGAGATATATTGTATGGAATGGTTTTTGTTCATATTTTTGAATTTCTTTATTACAAAGCATCCAATTATTTGAAATGATTTATGAGCTGTAACACATGTAATATTTGCAAAATGATGTTTAAAAATACATGTAACCTTTACATTGCAAGAAATAATAAATTTTGACAAAAATGAAAAAATAAAAATTTAGTCAGATTGAATTTCCTCTGCATTACCATACAATAATTTTTGTTCTTGTTTATTTTCTTCGAGTAATAAAATATTAAATTTTTGAATTGATATTAAGTTAAAACTTTAAGTTAGTTATTTTATGCAATTAGAACAATTTTTGATTTAACATATCGTATAAATAGAAATTTTAGCGAGGATTTAATATTGGCATTATTAGTGAGGGTGCCACATGGCTAAAATTGAATATCGCTAAAAATTAATTGCGTATTATTTTTTAAGGCCTCTTTAGTTAGCACTTTAAAATCGCTAAAATTACTTCTCGCTAAAAATAAAATACCAGATTTTAGGTAGAAATCGCTAAATTTGCGTCTCGCTAAAATTTCCACTTATACGGTATTGTATACTTTTTAAAATTTCCTTTCTGTTTTCTTAAACCTGAGTAAACGTCATCCTTAAGCCTCAATCTAGACAATTAAGCTGCTTATACTAAGTACATCTTGGAACTCGATCAATCTTTTTTCTTCAGCTGTAATGTTAAAATTTCATCTATAATCATCACTGATAAGATACAGCTCTGTGATGAAAATATACCCTACATGTTTACAGAGAAATATGCTTGCATGTGAACACATTCACTCTATGCCTGTTGACAACGTAATTGACAATTTATGCAACCAGTTTCCTGAAAATTTCAAGTTTCTTATCTTCAAATCAATGATTATCAAAAAAAGGGCCATTTCATCTTTCAAAGTGGTGAAATAGGATTGGCTTTTTATTTGTTAAAGTGCAACTATATTTAGAAGTGCCAATTTTAATTGTGCTGATTATAAAAAATAAACTACACATTGTTGGTGTGGTAACTAAATCTGAAAAGGCTTAGTAAAGAACACCAGGATGAAAAGGGACTTGTAAAGAAATGCTTTTACAATTTAATCTTGACCTTTGACCTACACTTTTTGACCTTTGACCTACACCTTCACATATTGGGAAACGATCAAGGTAAGGCCCAAGAGAGAGGTTTAAAATTTGCTAAAGTCTGTAAGGTGTTAAATAGAAAGATCTGCTAAGTCCTTGACCTCTTAGATCCTATACTTTATTTCAAGGTCAATGTATATCCTCTACTGAAAGCACTCTATGATTATGTTGTGGCTAAACTGGTCCTAATTGGGTGAGAAAATATGCTCCAGACAAGTATTTTACTCTTTGTTGGTAATCCAGGTTTGAATGGAGGCATAAAAATTACAAACTGTGATATAGCATAAGAAATTACAATCTTAAATTTATATAGGGGATCAAATCATAATATTTTTAGCTTCATAAATTCATGTAGGTCAAGTTCAAGTCAAATTTTTTTTAGCATTAGTGGTATTGATTGGTTTGGTTCAACTAATATGTCATATGTATAAAACATGTAACTTTAAAAAAAAAGAATTTTAATGCAGCAGTTTTATATCGGATGTTGATTATCTATCTTAATTTGTTACAGTACTCCATGAAGAACCTCACCCGGACCCACAAACCTCCTTAGACAACATGGTCCTCAGTCCCACGGGGCCGTTTATCCCAGGGGAGGGGGACTACCAGTATGGACAGTCTGACCGCATGGTCACCAGCACTATCATCGACAAAAAGAAGAAGGGGGCAGGTGTTCCAGGAAAGAGCATCGAGGAGGAATTGTGTCGGATTTGTGGAGACCGGGCCTCGGGCTACCATTATAATGCTCTCAGTTGTGAGGGATGTAAAGGTACTACTACACATTATGTCAAATACAGTGAAATCACTTATTCTAACAGGGGTTAATTTTCATGGTTTTAGAGGTATGAAGAGACCTACAAGTATATGTCCACCATGAAATGCAATTTTTCACAGACATTACTACTAAACAATTCTTCATCCAGGAAATTAAATCCCAGGAACTCGAATTTCTTTCCTGAAACCACAGAAAATTTGACCCCAAGATAATATGTGATTTTACAGTACAGTGAAACTTGTCTAATTTGGACACCACTGGTTTCAAAGAAATCGACCGGTTTAGGGAACATCAGTATTACTGGATTATATATTAGATATGTTGGTTGGTTTAGGAACATTCTGGATTATTTAGACATGTAGGCCGGTTTAGGGAACATTCTGGATTATACTGACATGTAGGCCAGTTTAGGGAACATTCTGGATTATATAGACATATAGGCCGGTTTAGGGAACACTGGATTATATAGACATAGGCTGGTTTGGGGAACATTCTGGATTATATAGACACATTGGCCGGTTTAGGGAACATTCTGGATTATATAGACATGTAGGCCGGTTTAGGGAACATTCTGGATTATATAGACAACATTGTTAACAATAGAATTTTACTAAAAGAAACTTTAAAAAGTTTAGATTGTATTAGGTAAGGTTTTAGGATACACAATATCAAGATCAGACAAGTTTCACTTTATCTAGAAAGTTATTTGATTGGTTAAAAAAGTCATGGGACAATGTGATTAAAACATCATCTTTATATAGGGAGAAAGAAATAAAGCATACCTCGTTTTCTATGAGAATTATCGAATTTTTGATTTCTGAGAGTATCCTAAAATTCATATGAAATATTGATAATTACCCTAAACCAACTTTGAGGACTTAATTAATTTGCTAATATTTATTACATGATATTGAGGTGGTTTATAGTGGCAGCATTCGAAAATAGTCTCTCTTATAAGTATTATCTGTTTTATTCATTATCAATAATATAACCTGCTTATACTTAATGTACCAAACTGAAACATGTTTTATGGAAATGACTGTTCAATATAAATAGTCATGTAAGTACAGGTAACTTCTTGGCCTTCTCCTTGACAGTATGAAGATTACTGCAAGATTGCAGCATAAAATGTCTGATTTAGCACTGCTTCCTGGCGATTTACAACAATTATATCAGATTGATACCAACTGAGAGAAAAAAATGAGAAAAAATCAAGCCATTAAGTCAGTGAGTCAAACTATTACCGGATTATAGACATGTAATGTGAGAACCCTATGCAGTTAGGATTGTACTTTATTGTGATGGTACCCCACAAGCCCAGGACTGTTGGGCTACAGAAAGAGCCATCATGCTTGCCAAGGGGGCTGGCTACTGAAATTCAATGTCACACTCACCAAAAACAATAAAATTTAAAAGAAATATAAAGCACTAAAACATGCAGTTCTAAATTTGATCGCAAGCTAGGTTTAAACAATGTTTGAATCCGTCCAACTGCAAACCAAAGTTATTTTTCATGGCCCATGTTTTGTTCCAATTTATATACTTCAATTTTATAAGAAAATGTTATATATAAAATTTATATATAGAACTTGTCCATGTTAATTATGATAATTTATGAAGAGAACATAAATCTTTTTTGTCTAGATTATTGGACGGTTCCTATCGAAAGCAAACCTATGAAAGAGTAGTTTGTCAGGTTATTTTAATTATTTCATTACTGGAGGCACATCAAATATACTTCACCTTTTACAGCATTCAGATGGATTAGCAGTAAATCAAAAGCTTGATCATTTATTATTATATTTTTCTTATTCATTTTTCCATTTATAGAAAATTTATATTCTTAAGAACATTCTTGATATTTTGAAAATTTTAATTTGAGTTAAATTTTAGGTTCTTATACTTTTTTCTGGATTGAGTCTAATACCTATGACTTAAGGTCATACGCAACTTAGACTGAACTTTATTAGGTTCTTCCCTGGAGTTGAAGAGTTCCACTAAATGAAGGACCTGTGTGCAATATTTTTAATGTCTATGGATTTGTACACCTCTTCCAAAACAAAATTTGATGAAAAAATAAATCTGAAATTTATGTTTTGTTATTTTTGTACTTTTTTCTTTGAATCATGCAAAAATTTTCAAAATTTAATATCTTTTCAAAACCCCTGGTAACGCATACTGATTTTTTGTCTAAGAACATGTAATATGGTATTATAAGTTTAAATTTAGAATATCTTGAAAAATTATCAGTAGGACCGGTACCTTGCGTATGTCCTTAAAATTTAATCCCCTTAATAATGTCCATTAAAATAAACTATTTAGTGTAATGAAAAATGACCATGCGTTTTTATGGTTTCGAGGTCTTAAGAGCTGGAATGTCATCTAGCAAGCGCTTGGTCAAAATCGCCACCAGGTGTACTAAACCAAATGTGTCAGTCAATGCATCTGCATAGAAAATAACTACAAACCAATGTCCTTGATTTCTTCATTACAAAACTGTTGAGGTTGAAATGCAGCAGATTATGTTTTATATTTTATGTTTGTAGGATTTTTCCGTCGCAGTATTACACGAGGTGCTACTTACAACTGTAAATATGGCGGAAATTGTGAAATGGACATGTGGATGCGACGGAAATGTCAGTCGTGCCGCCTCAAAAGATGTCGAGAAGTCGGCATGAAAGAAGAATGTACGTATGATTTTATGTTTTGAATGGTAAATTGTTATTAATTAATCTTCACTGATTGTTTTTAACGTAGGGGACGTGATTAAGTAAATTTCAAGTATAAGCAAAGATACAATGTGTACCCACATTTTCTTAGGGAAATACCCCCCCCCCCAAGTGATGCAATGGTCAGAGTGTTTGTTCTTGTTCTGGAGTCACAGAGTAAAGAGTTCTGGGTTCAAATCCCATTACAGGTCATGGAGACTAGACAGTTCTTAGGATGAGACAGTATATAAACACAATTTGTGTCACAATTGGTGCTGACATAAAAAAAGAACTTAATTACTGCTAATTTGTGCAGAGTGTGAATAAAGGTCAAAATTTGCAGCCCTAAATTCACGAGTAATTAAGTGTTAGCATCTTCATATAAAAAATAAATTTTCGAGATGGATGTTAGACCACAAACTAAACAAAGGAGCAAAATAAATGATTGTTTTAATTCCTATAGTGTAGAAAAGTTACCAGCCAGTGGATAAAAAGTGGAACTGATATTCAGCCCCAGAAGTGTTGTGCACAGCAATATTTGCTCTACATATCAGTTGCTCTTCAATTTTTATTACATTTTTTTAAAATTTAAATCCAGGTTTATTAGACGGACATGCTGTGAATTTCATTTGCAAGATCAAGTTTTGCAGCTGTCAGGTTTAACACATTTTGCAGACTCTTATAAAAATTTAAGGTGTGATCTTGATGTCGTGCAGATTAATTTAGCTGACTTACATGTATCTGCCAGAAAATAGGATTAGTAAGGTTATATGTAAAGTTATCAATATAGGGGACTTAGTTCATCATGTTCATAAGAAAGAACTTCCCATTACATTTTCCTTAGACAGACACTTTTAGACCTTATATAGATTTATTTTCCTCATTTTGTTTGAGAAAGGTCTATGCATTATTTAAAGAATAAAGAAGAGTTATATTTTTGGCTAATAGCTAGGGTGTCTGCACATTGTACTTGACAAATTAAGTCAAAGAAGGTAAAAGATGAAAAAAAGCTCTGAAATTTATAGCTGTGTGTCTGAGAATATTTAATTCTTATTTGAATACCCTTAACCCCTTCCATGGCAAAGATTTTAAGCATTTCTAGACAAATTGATATTAAGATTTCAATGCATTTTTTTTAGTATTTCTTGAATTTTTTGTATATACCAATGTACATGTATATATATTCTGAAAGCAGGTATTGTGTAGTTTCTGAAAATGGTTTTAAAAATATCATTTCAGTTGCCATGGCAACAAAATAAACCATAATCACACTGGAATTTCCATTTATTCAAGAATGAGTTTCATTCTAGTTTTTTTGCTTAATTAAATATATCAAAAAATATTTTATTGTTGTGTTGAAAATTATGAGCATATTGTACATTTTTTTGCGAACCAATTTTAAGTATTTTGAGGGGATGGGGTGGGGTTGGAAGGTAATCACCAGAATTTAGCATTTTTACACATTACGTGTTACCCCCGTATTGAGTTCGATAATGGCAAAGTCGCTCAAATTGTGCGCAAAGTTTAACTCGAGCTAGCAAAATACTGGTACAATCAATTAAATACATTTCTGTATATTATTTTATCGTAATTATTTTCTCTTTCCAAAGGTGAAAGATTTATTCTGATATTTGCAGTATTAATGAAGTTATTAATGTTTTCTCATACTATACTCGTTTTCCAAGTCAGATGCTTAGAAATGCGTATATGCCATGTAGGGGGTTAAATGAAAGCTGCAAAATTAATAATTTGCAATTGATGTGGGAAAACTTCAAAATATTGTTAAAATTGACCACTGTGAACTAAATTAGGTAAATTTATGTATGTTGTTATTACTTAATTTAGAGATTAACCTAGTGACTTTATGACCAGAAGGGACTTGTCATGAACAGGAAACGAGGCTTATCCTTGTTGTAAAGATAATTATATGTACAATGCAAAAATTCATCATACCCATTTACTTAGAGAAAGATTCTGTATGGCTTGTTATCAATACATAATACATTGATCTGTCAAAACAATGAAAGACCTAAGGCATTGGATTTTCAGTACAAGTTTTGAAACACAGAATATTCTCGTGTCTTGAAATTAGTTGTTCTCGAAACACCAGGGGGGACTTAATACACTTATGATTTTTTTTCTTTGATTAAATTGCATCCATCATCTGACACAATGAACTTAAATAATCAAGGTTAAATTTTTATTGGGATTGTGTTCTTTTAAAAAAAAGTATTTTAACCTCAATTTTACATTTTAATTACAAAAATATTTTATTTGGTTTGATGACATTTGTTTGAAAAAATTATTAATAAAAGAATTTTCAAACAATGTTTCAAAAAAGCCAGTAAAATAATGCCTTTATATTTATTATTTAAAAAAAACCTTTAATTTGAATGAAGACTTTTTTTAAAGTTCAGTTTACGAGATAGTTCATTTTTGTATGCATGAGTACATGTGATTTCTCATAATGGTCCTACTATCATGCTACTGTATACATGTATTAAGAATAGTGATGTAGAGATATATTTCTTTGAGCATCATGAAATCATCAATTCAGATTGATCAGGGGCTACATGTTTTCAAAATTTTCTTCGGAACAAAAATCAAATGAAAAAATAAAACATCTATACGAGGGTTGTTAGAAAAGTTCGCGCACACATTGAGTTACGGAAAATCTATTGCGTACTGTAAAGTATGACCTATGTCTGAATAAATTCCTACATTCTGTTTATTGGTATGTAAAAAATCAGGTCCATGTAATAAAATCTTGAAATTTTACAAGTTTTTTACTTTGGGGTCATGGGATTCACGGAGCAATCACTTGACGTAAGCGACGTGACAACCAGATTTCAACGGGTTAAGCTTTGTCGCAGTTCTATAAATCTTTTATTTCTTCAGAATTTTCTTATCTTTTTTCTACTTTAAAATTGAATATCTCTATCAAGACATGTTACTTTTCTACTATAATGTCTTTTGTATTGATTCGGATAATATTGAGATCTTAAAAAATTCTATGCAGTTAATCGAACAGGTATGGAAACTATGCAAAACCATATAAGCGCAACGCAACGTCCATGCGATAAGGGGGTATTGAAGTATCGATGGAGTTAATCACTCAAAATATTACTCCTTCCATTCTTACGAAGCTACAACCATTTGAAAACTTGTTCTTTGTATGTGTAGGAAATTTTCGGCAGCATCTTGAACATCTTAATCTCTTTTAGATATCTTCCTGTCTGCACACATATTTTTTTATGTAGTGCAGTGCTCCATGATGCTCAATGACGTTCCGATTTTTGGCTGTGTTTTTACGCGTGGATCATTTATAAACGGCTATAAAACAGTCATATAACCTCCAGTTTAGTTCATATTTTCTCTCAGTGACGTTTCCTGCATGCTTTAGCAGCAGGTAAAATATCATAATTCTTTTTGCGCTACAATTGTGCAATTTTTAATTTTAATAAAGAGTCTTTGTGATGTAAACTTGTCAACATGTAGCATGCTCCGTGAAGCAAGTTTTATCAAAGTAAAAAAGCTGTATATTTTTCAATAATCACCGGAGAGCACCAAATTTTTGTATATTAATTGGAAAAAAGGTTAAAATTTTATCTGGAAAGTTTGACCGCTTTCGTGGAAATAGCGCGCTCACAATAGAACTTGTCCGCGAACTTTTCTAACACCCCTCGTATATATATATATATCTGTATGATTTTACATCAGCAAGTATGGCAAATATAATTTATATACCATTTCAACTCATATTGGTTAAAGATATGTAAAATCACACCATATAAATATCCTTAATATACAGCTAAAGGAAGATTTGCACCAAACATTTAATTTAAGGAGTGCGGTGATCAATGAATAATACAAATACAGTTTTGCTTTGTGTCGGTGAGCAAGTAATCTGGATTAATGAAGCATTCAGATAACTCATACTTAATTTACATAAAAATTCTCCACAAGTATGGTACTGAAGAGCTGAAGGTGAAATGTCTAGATTATCGGCATCTTGATACTGTAAAACGAGAATACCGGGTGCTATTTTTTGCGAAATACTGCGATCAAGTCTTAATCGCAAAAAATTCAATTGCAAAAAATACGTAAATAAAATCCGGAATTTTCAGTTGTGATCATCCAAGTTCTACTTTTACAGATACCGGAAGTATATGTAAATAATACCATTGCATGTTTTCAATCGTATTTTACAGGTAATTTACTTGACAACAATGATTGTTTTTCGAATAAATAAAACGAATTCCTAAAGATTCAATCTTTATTTGTTCCTACATTGTATTTCATGATTTATTTATATGAAACCCGAATAGCAATTGTCGGTTTGGTTATTCCGCTTGATCGGGTCCTTCACCAGATTTTTCTTAATCGGTTTTCTTGTGTAATATTTTCCCTACTAGGATTATATAAACTCTTTATAATCATAAATGAAAGTTCATAGTCTATGGGAACTTACTGAAACGAACTTCTATAAATTAATTTCAAAGAATTACCCACAGGTGTAGTGTCATCTATGTAAAACACCCAATTAACAGCACAAGGCCTTCAGACTGCATCTATTTTACGCTTGATTGGCGTGTATACAAGCGTAATCAAACTTCGAGAGATATAGAGTAAAATTCAATGAAATATGTGTAACAGGACCCAGGTTTTGGTTCGAGACTTTATTGTTTAAATGTCTAGTAATAACATTCAATAAAAATAGACTTTATTGTCAAAGTGAAATCGCAAAAATTAAAATCGCAAAAAATAAATATATGTATTTCAGGATCAAATCGCAAAAAATTGCACCCGCATTAAAAACCAGTTATACGGTATTTGACGCACTACTAATTTTAGCGCCTTTGGCGCAAGAGCCCCTGAACGTTAAAATTATTGTGCGCTAATTCTAAATATAATTTTTTTTGTGTATGTTCAAAGCTTTCACATAAGTACTTGTAAACCGGAACACGCAATTAAGTAATGTCAAAGGGTTGTTGGATTTTATAAACACACTAGCACTGTACATGGTAGGAATGATCGAGAAAATTCTGCCAAATCATAATTTATTAAATTAAACTATTGTTAGTTCTTACCCGATACGTATCATTAGCACAAAGTTCGGCTTCTCAGCATGTCAATCATCTTTCGCCTTAATTGCGGTAAATAATGCAATCAAGCATGGCGATTGAGCTTGCAGATAATACCTGATTATGATTACTGTTTATCCAAGTAACTTTCCTTTGATACATGCATCGTTTTAATATGGATAAAATGCATGAATACTCCATTTCTTTTATCTAAAATAAAATTAAAATAAAATTTAACATTGTGCCACATCTGTATGATTGCAACACCACCGTAATGTTGACAGTTGTTTACTTATTTACGGGAGTGCTATTGTGTTTCCGTGCTTGACTAACCAAAAAATCAAATACGGGCGTGGATTAAAAAATATAATATAACATTTATATATTTTAATGACAAGTGCAAGCGCTAAAATTTATCTGCGCCAATGTATTTCCAATTTCATTTACGCTAAAATACGAATGCGCCAAATTTTCTCGTTTTACAGTAAACAAGGTTCTATTGTATGTTTGCCTCTGATATAAAAACATGCCAAGCCATGTAGACTGAGTACTAAATGACTGAAATAATTTTCATTCCTTTGTAGGCCTTCTTTCAGAAGAACAGTGCAAAGCAAGAGATGCAAGAAGGAAAGCCAAACAACGATATACTCAAAATGTTCAGGAAGATAGACCCGAAAAGAAGCCTGCCTTAAACACTGAGTGTAACTCTAACTCAGGGGAGGGGTTTGAGAACAAGGGGTCGTGTGCACCGGAGGTTAAGTTCTCTTCCACTCTTTCACCTTATGCCATTATAGACACTAGGCCCATTCACTCCGTCACGGAAGATACACGGAAGTTGATCGAGAAGCTGGTCAAACTTCAGGACAAATACGAGTTTCCCGAGGAGTCCAAAGTTGACGATGCTATAGTAAGTGTGATGTGGGTTTTGCAGCAAAATTAACAGGGCATAAGAGGTTCTTGCCTATAACATTGTATAAGTGATAAATGTGTATCATAGACCTATATACTAGCAACAAGTTGATTATGGAATTTCAGGGAAGCAAGTATCCTATAGATTAGCAGTAAAAACAAAAATGTTCATAGCCAAACCATAACTTGCTCTTGATTATAAGTTACAAATCCTAAACCTTTATACAGTGAAATCTGTCTTATCCAACATCTATTGGGAGATGAATTTTGTGTCAGAATAGACAGGGTGTCAGATTGCACAGTGTAAAGAAACATGGAAAATGAGTAAAAATTGGGAACAAAATTTAACGTCAGCATTCACAGTGTTATGGATTGCACAGGAGTCAGATTGGACAGCTTACACTGTACTTGCAACAAAGTTGATTATGGAATAGTAAGTGTGTGCTGTAAGTTTTCAGTAGAGTCACAAAATGATGTCAAAGCATCAACGTGCTATTGATTCTGAGTGATAAATAAGTATGTGAGACAATACTAGCAATCAAGTGAAAACTCGGAGTAGCATCTTAGAGTGGTAAAGTAGTGGACTGGTGGATATAGATTCAGGTCTAGTAAAAAAGTTTTAGAGGTAGTGAGACTTAGCAAGTAGTCCACAAAAATAAAGGTCAAACCCTGCTAAAGGGGGAAGGGGGGGTATAATTGAGGTATAAAATTTTAAAGCTTACTTTGCTGTCAGAATCAAGAGAGCATTTGATTTTTTGCCTTAAAATACTATGTTTTTGCTTTGGGGATTTTTTTCTCATTAGAATGGTAAAAGCCTCATTTGTAGACAAGGATTCTAAAAGAGAAAATCAATAAGTAATTAACAGATATCTAAAAGATAAAATCCCTGAATTTACAATTGTTTTTTTTTTTTTTTAAATTAAGTTTCCTTAAATATGGTAGTCTTGATTCATTACCATTGTTTTCATATTGTTGTGGAAACATAACTTGCTTATATATATTTAGTGCTTGAACCATAGAAACCTTGTGCCAATAAGAAGGAACCAAAAAACAAACCAAACAAACAAAATCTAATTTTTCAATACCCTTTATCTTTCTTTTTATAAACCCAATGTAATTATGGAATTTTTAATTAATAATAAAGGGGTAGCAAAAATCCCAAATAAGTTTCACGCAGGGAGGAGGAATTGACTGAGGTAATTGAAAGTTATTCCATCAGGTTCTCGTGGTATAAATCAATAGAGCGCTCTGTAGCTGGTGACTGATGACAGTCGTTCCCTGCTTCAGCACCTGAGATCCTTCCTGTTGTGAATTAGGATTAGAGTTGGAAGCCTGTGAAATTATTAAGGCCTGATCAATCAATAACTGTCTTGTTTAGAGAAGTCATTTCAGGCACCAGGTTCAAAGTGTTTGACATAGTACAGCTGTGGAACAAAGTTTGTGAATTTCATTGTTCCCCACCCCTGGGCCCAAGGGGTGGGGCTGTTTGTGAATTTCATTGGTTCCCCCTCCCCCTGGGGTCGGAGGGGTGGGGCTGTTTGTGAATTTCATTGGTTCCCCCTCCCCCTGGGCCCAAGGGGTGGGGCTGAAAGCAATAACATTATACTGCCATCTTAGAAAATTTTCGTCTTTACCCTTGGACAGGGCATCAAGCAATTGAACTGTTGTAATGGATTGTGATGAGCATTGAGCCCACTACCAAAAAATTCATGTTTCAGTAATTCAAAACATGTTTGATCTTTTAGTTTGCAATATGACATGAAGGTCAATACAAGACTGTTGCCAATCAGTTGGTGTCTTATATGTACTAAAAGTGGGACAAAACATCGAAACAAAGTGTAAGCTTAAATAATTAATATGTCTGCTGTCCTGATGTAATATTTTAATGCCTTTCTTTAAAAAGAGGTTTTGCTTTAGGCAAACTGAAATGAATCATCCATTCACAAACACTAGGGCAAAAAATTAAATTAAATAATGCATATAGCATTTTAACTGCTTTGTGGTTGCTGCGACAAAAACTTTCCTTATACGTAAAATGGTTTGAAATTATTCCTTAAAAAAATTTTCAAATTTATAAATTCACTATCATCCTAGTGTCCTTGACTTTATTTAAAGTTAGGATTTTTGGAAAAGTTGCCTTCTTAATAATTTTCTGCATTTGATCCATCAATGTTACAGATAAATGACATTAACCAAAATATGTTTTACAAAGATTGGCATTATGAAACTGACAAACTTGTACTTTTATGTTGTGCCAATGAAAGGATAAGCAATGTTAATATCAGATGAAATGGCATTTAGTGCTGGAAAGACAAAAGGTGATAGGTATAGACTAATTAGTATCATTTTTGTCTTAAATTTCTCAATTCATCAGGTGTTGGGTATATTCATTTCCAACTCCTGTTAATATGATTAAAACATGTGAAGATTGATCCTTGAAAAATATAACCCAGATTTAATACTCAGCAACCCTATGTCGGTCTTTTTTCTGAGACAAGAGAATCAAGATTTATCCTTGGATTCTAACAATAGATAATACTATTAAGAACTTCCTGTTTTTTTTTTTTAATAATTTTTTAATCAAGATCACATAAACCGGGATTAATCTAGGTTGATATTTTTCACCAAAAGAAAATTTCCCCTGAATATTCCATTTTACTCTTTTGATGAGTAAGAAATTCCCCTAAACCCTATATGTGTCTTGGTGGGTATCCCCCATCCCCACCTCTATACATGTAATTTTGGGGACTCCCATTCCACCTCTTTACATGTCTGGATGGGTACCACCATTTCACACCTATACATGTCTGAGTGGATACCCCCATTTCACCCCTATACATGTCTGGGTAGGTACTATACTGCTTACTAGGTTGAAATATTGATACTCTTGTGTAAGGTTGAATATAACTGTTTGGTTTATTACAGGATATTGACCCCAGTAAGGAGGAATCAGGAGAACACGTGCTGATGAGTCTGTCCAAGATGACAGTCCTAATCACTCACCTTATTGTGGAGTTTGCCAAAAGCCTGCCAGGTTTCTCCAAACTCAACAAAGAGGACCAAATTATTTTGCTCAAGGTAACAGTGTGGAAAATCTGGTGGAAAGCAAATTTTCTTCCTCAAAGGATGAATAAAATTTCAGTTTTTAAGAAGCAAGGTATTTTTACATACTGTAAACCAAATTTTATTCTCGTGCCAGAAATTTTCACAAAGTGTTTTGTGAGAGTCACGTCATGGCCAATATTTCTCATAGCAAACCGGTCCTTAAAGTCTCTGTGTCTATTAAAAGCAGATCCAAAAAAGGCTTGCTCGCAAAAATTTATCGTCGCAATCTAGTTTATCCCCGGTATATCACGAAGTCAAGTCTTTGTAAATAAAAGTTGGTTTACAGCAGTCACTATAGTGTTTTGTGTCTTCATCAGTGGTATAAGAATTGTGAGTCTCTTTCGAATAGAAATTATTTTAATTTTAAAAATCTCAACAAATACATTCGTTCTCTTTCGCAATGTACATTATGATAAAACTTTTACCCTTTTCTGTTAAGGCTGCCTCTAGTGAAGTTATGGCCTTACGAGCCAGTAGAATGTATGACCCTGCATCAAGATCCATTGTGCTGGCTAACGGCATTCCACTGACGATCTCGAACATGGAAGCTACAGGTCAACCCAGGGAATACACAGAGCTTGTCTTCAAACTTTGTCATGACATGGCTGACCTCAACTCGGACAACGCAGAGTATGCCCTCTTCACTGCCGTTAGTATATTCTCAGGTGAGGAACTCGCATTATCAACATGCAAAACACAGTGATAAGTATTGTCAAACAAAATTTTTTTGAATATGGTTGGGCTGTTGAAAATTAAGCTTTCTGAGGGTTCAAGATTTATGGATCCCATAATATTAAGACCAGGCTCCAGGGCCATAAAACTTGCATGAGCTCATATTTGATCTAAATCTCACTTTTCCACTATATATTCTTTTTGTGAAGGTCAGACTGAGATCAAAAGTGAGCTCATCTTAAGTTTTATGGCCCCTTAGAAAAAATGAAAATTTCAAACTTTGTAAAAGTACAAGTTGCAATTGGCAGTTGTTGGTAGTGATATACTAAAAAAAAAATTTTATTTAAGTTTGTCCAATAGTGCAGAAAAGTTGAATTGGCAAAATAGGAAAATATCGAATAGTGAGCAAGCTAAAAAATCCATTGAACAAAACAAATTTGGAGCAAAGCAAGTACCGACCTGTTAGATTATCAAAGATGGGAACATGTGCCAAGATCATTAAGCATCCCCTGTCAACTACTCGACGAGATGCTCACTCTTCCATGGCACCTGATCCCACCTCTAATTATTTTGGAGGTCCTTGTTTGCTCTGCTTCAATTTTTTATTGTTTAATGGACTTTTGGGCTTGAATACTCTTATCTGCAAATGTTTCACACCCACTGTGTTTTTTCCATGATGGGGAAAGCAGAAAAATCCACACTGGCATGGACAATTCGGTGAGAAAATAATTGCCAAACAATTTGTACATATTAGCTGACAATGTCAGTGTTTAAACCATGGTATATATAAATAATAAAATTTCAATTAGAGTTTTGATATCCTTGTATCTTCAACTTATTTGTCAAAACCTTGCCTGATTTGAAAAAGGTTCATGTATAGAGAATGCTTGCGAAGTTCCTTCCCCTTTTATGACATGTTAAGTTCTGAATTTGATGTTTCAGCATATATAATAGGATTAATTAATAAAGACCGATGATAACAAACTTATTTATTTGATTGTTTCAGCTGACAGGGCTGGCTTAACTAACCGTGACTTGGTGGAGCAGATTCAGAAGGTATACGTGGATGCTCTGGATGAGTATGAAAGCAAAAAACGGGTCAAAGGTGGATGTGCTCTGGCGAAATACTTGCTACGCCTCATCGACCTGCGAAATATCAGTGCAGAGCACTCCAGAATGCTGACAATTCTGCCCATAGATGAGGCCGCCATGCCTTCTGTTGTGAGAGACATATACCTGCAGAGTGATAAATGAAGGCAAAAAAAAAATAATTTTGAAAAAAAAATGATGTGGACAATGTGTTTTTTGAAAAAAAAAATATACAAGGGTGCTTGAATGGAGAGGCAGATGTGCTGAAAGTGAGGAAACGTTAAAAGGCAATTTTGGTGCAGAACTTGTGAAAAAGAATTTGTTATAAATGAATTCTGAGGAATGAGGAAGAACAATTATGAATCTTATCACACTCGTACAAGTTTCTTATTGGTATTAAAACATCTAATGTTGATTCAGGTTATACTTATATATATATCTAAATATCGTTATATATATCTGAGTGGGGAAAATGTGTGTATGTATAAAATGTATGAGATATGCTTTTCCCACTCTTTAAAAAAAAACATATTGTGTATTGTTAATCTGATCATGGTTATGGTTAGTTGCTATAGTAACAACCAATGGGAATGATCTAAAGACTCCCATTGAAAACTGATCTGCTCAAAAAGTGTTGTGTTCCTGTTTTTCATTGGCTCTTTGAACTGTACTTTACCCATGTATTCCGTATGTGAAATCGTATAGTGTGTATTTGAAATAGTGCATTAGAAACAAGTATAGATTTTTGTAGTAGTGTTGAAAGATATCAACGTTCAGGGACTGTGTTTTTTTTAATGGCTGCCATTTTGATAGGGCCCTCTTTTAAAACTATTGCAAGCAAGTGCTCTTCACTGAAGAGCAGTTTCTAAATTTTTTATGCCAGATAATTTGATGGTTCAATTAGGGCTGTGAATTGTTTTTAGCCAAAAGATTGTGGGTTTTTTTTACATTCAGAGATACTCAGAAGATTTTGTTATCCTGTAAATTGTGCACACTGGAAATATTGCTTAAGCAGTTTTGTTTTTTAATTGTTTTCATTCTTTTCATATCTCTGTTTGAAATTGAAAAGAGTTTTGACCAGAGTCAATTCAGTGAGCGATCTCAATGGATATTGTTTTATGCTTTTCTCGTTCCTTGCTGTAGTATTTGTGCCGCCCAGAGTTTCAAACCAAGCAAATTTTTTTTCTTACACTGTAAAGTCATCAATTTTTATCTTTCAAAACATGCTTAAGGGAGATTATTCTTCAGGATTTATCCTCATTGTTTCAATTGACTTTTTGATAAAGATTACCATATAACTTTAACCATTATAAGGCAGACCATAGCATATAGTTCCCATCTAATAGGCATTTCTTACATGGACCGCAAAGGCTATGTAACATAACTAGAACCTCAAGCATCATAAAAAATGTATTTTAATAGCAGTGTAGATGAAAATGTATATGTTAAAAAATAATTTATTGTGATGAAACAAGATATGGTACTTTACTATGGTAATGTTTAGATTTTTTCTGATGCTCAACGCATGCCAAAATTTTGCTTCCTTTGCATGAATTACGGGCAGGTTCTTTCAATGAAATTCAAAATTATACAGCAGACTAGGAATTAAGTTGAACTGTACTCATAGCCAAATCTATATGGTAAGGAAATTAATCTTAAAATCTTTTTATTAAACAAGCATTATATCTGGATAGCTCACTGACTCAAATTATTCTAATATGTAAAACTCAAAATTGTTCAAAAAAGTGGTGATTTAGCTAAGTTTTTTTTCTGTAGATTTTAGGAAATACATATTCCTGGTGCAGGGCATCCATGACTTTACAGTCAAAACCTATTATCTTAAACTTAATTGGACAGAGGAACACAATAAGAATTTAGCATGAAAATTCATATGAAAGGTTGATGGGGGTTTTCAACTGCTATAGTATACCAGACGTGGAGTTTTAGATACAAGAGTTTTTTCTGTATTTCTATGTTCTAGTGGTGTAATGGAAGATTTTTCAGTTCTTGCTGCATGCATTATTTAAATAATTTCCAGACACTCTAAGTTGTTTGTGAAAATATATTTAGTTCCTTGGCACCTCACTATTTGTTTGTGAGTTGTTTTTTTTCACATTGTGGATTTGTAAGACTCCCATGAAATGGACTTAATTCTCATGACATATTATATCAATAGTTTTTTAGCTCACCTAAGCCAAAGGCTGAATTAAGCTTTTCTGATCAAAATTTGTCTGTTTTTTGGCATTGCATCTGCCATTGTAAACTTTTCACATTTTTAATTTCTTCTCCAGCGCCACTGGGTCAATTACAACCAAACTTGGCATAGAGTATCCTTGAGAAAAGGGGATTCAAGGCTGCACCCTTGTCCAAGTGAAGATATTTAAGAAATAGTGAAAATTGTGTTGAGTAATTTTAAACTCTTCAGCTCAAAAAAACACTAAGCCAGAAAATTTCTGACATGTTAAAACTCTCTGAGGTAGTGTAGATTCAAATTTCTTCAAATCATGACCTCCAGGGGTCGGATGGGGCCACAAAGGGCAATCAAAGATTTAACTAGGAATACTTAAGGAATTTTTAAAAAAAATCTTCTCAAGAACAGCAAGGTCGTGATTGGTCCTATATAAAATGGAGAAAATCTGCAAATAAAAGATAAGGGCCATAGTTAATCAGGTGAGTGTTGTGGCTCATGGGCCCATTGCTATTCTGTTGCTGCAGTTTCATAATATATTTCATGGAGAATATTGCTGTTCAGGTTTTAAGCTAAGAATTGGATCCAGGATATTTTGTATGTTGTGAAACTGTACGTATTTTTTGCATTATGTGTTCATCGGTTTGTCCTTCCATTTTGTGATGTGTTACCTGTCCTCATAGGTCATAGGTCTTAAAAAATCTTAAGTTGATTTCTGATTGTCTTGTAAAATAAGAGAAATGAGGCATTTTTATTTAAAATTGTTAATTAAATATGGTTTACATCATAACAAGCCCTGGAATGAAAATTGGACACTTCGATGGTAAACAATGTTAACACCCTCTCAGGGACATACATAGTGTAATATAGATTATATATATACATGTATTATTTATTTCACACACTTTCTTTTTTGCTCAGGAAGAGCAACTTGCCACAAAAGTGATTTTTTTTTTACATGGTTAGTAACAAACAATTTAAAATTTGATTTTGAAGAGCCAAAGAAAGAAATCTAGCTGAAGAAAATATATGTAATTTAGATTGTGTGTTTGACAAATTGACTAAGCAACCAAAGGCTTTGTATATGCTATATCTGTATTTATTTCTATATGAATTTTAAATCATTTTCTTTTAAATAGAGAAAGAAAAAAACAAACAGTAGTTGATTAGTTATGATACACTGTATAGTATGTCCATGACATCAAAATATACAAGGTCACAGAAGCTGTTTAACACAACTGTTTTAGTTTGGAATAAACATCTTAGGGCATTTCAATTGATAGACAAAAAATCATTTTTTAATGATTAGTTGCAGTTAAATTTTCAATAATGCTTAAACCTTTTTTCATTAGTTAAAAAAAACATTTTTTTATTAATTCTCTATAAGCTGTTAATTGTTTTTTTTTAACTGCAATTTTCAGATAATACAATATGTTCTGTTATTTGTCTTTTCTTTTAAACTACATGTGTACCTCAAAATTATCTCAGATTATCTCGTATATTATACGATTTGTGATTTGACTTGAATTAGAAGTGCTATAGTATTGTTTTATATTTTCATTATATATATATGAGCTCTACCTCATTTTTGTGAAGATGTACTGAGCCGTGTCTATTGTATGATGGGTCATTAGAAGAAAAGCATTGCTGTAGCCAATGTTATTTTTAGATCAGTGTCCATAAGAAACTGTTAAATATCCTCAGCAGAATAAATCTTGTAAATATCTCAAACAATGCTTCAGAGTTCTTTTTGTTCACTTGACTCAAAGATAATATTTAGATTCTCTCTTCTTCAAGATGTGGACATCTGACTATCCATGTACCAGTAAAATATACACTCTGAAATGGTTTTGAAATAGAAGACAAGGAGCTATAAGGGAGTAAACATCCCTTGTTAACAGGTCACATCAGCTGTATGCTCCTTGTCGTGATCGGACAAATGAAAAAATATATAAACAATTCAGTGTAAAAATTATTCCCTATTAAGGGACTCCGACCCTCAGCCAGGTAGGACAATTCTTTAATTCATAATTTAATTTCTATTAAATCTTTTCATGCAACAATTTTCATTATATGCCTCTCAATGTGCTTCAAGGTTCTTTAAACTTCTCAGAAAGGTCTAATTAAAAGTAGAAATTTTTATCCCGAAAAAGCATTTTTGGATACCAATGTTTATTAACATAATTAGAAATTAGAAGTAATTTACGGAGCTTTGCAAAGAACCGTGAAGCACATTGAGTTATAATGAAAATTGTTGCATGAAAATATTTAATTTTCAAGCTTCATTTAAAGACTTTTTGAATTAAATTATAAATTAAAGAGTTGTCCTTTGGCTGAAGTCATTTTATATGAAACAGTGAGTCAACATTCGACTTAAATATTTTTTTGTTTTTGCTGACAAGGTTATTGTTTCAGACTGAGACTTTGCGAATCATTGACTTTGAACGAGACTGTTAATATTCTTGCTTCATCAACTTGTTTGTCAGTATCTTGTCCTTGCTTATCAAATCAGCTGGGAGACATGACCTCCATATGAAGGCGGTGTGGTATATTGCTACATAAGGAAGGAAAGTTTATGATAGAAAAGTTGAAGACATCACGGTTTGCATACAGTATTGTGTCCATAAGACATAGTGGAAGCATATGCTCTAGAGTTACGAAATATTGAGTTAAACTGAATGCAGTATCTTTTATTATTGAACCATTATTCAAAGGAATAATTTGTATAATATGTAGATAACATTCTCATTGGCAAATTGGAAGTTATTAATAGTGAAAAACAGTTGGCTAGGCCAACATCAATTTGGGAGGTTGTTTTATTGCACATTTGACGTTTTGGGCTCCACTGTTCTTTCGAGAAAGATTTTTAAGCATTGTTCACACATATATACAAACATTTTCCAATATTAAACCCTAATATTATACAAATTTTCTGTTTTTTTCTATAACTTTTTTTATGGTTGCCCAATCAAGTTCAAATTTGGTATGGTAGTTCAGTAGGCAGAAATACATATTTTGATGCTAAGTTTGGTTCTCTATGTCTTCTGGTTTGGAGCTGGGGTGGTGGGGTAGATTCCTTAACTATGCATAAGAATGAATGGGCAACATTTTTTATGGTTGCCCAATCAAGTACAAATTTGGTATGGTAGTTCAGTAGGCAGAAATACATATTTTGATGCTAAGTTTGGTTCTCTATGTCCCCTGGTTTGGAGCTGGGGTGGTGGGGTAGATTCCTTAACTTTATATACGAAAGCATTGGCAAAGAGAGATAACTGCTGATGTTAAACTGAATGCTGCTATGAGTCCCTTGGGATTGTGAAAGTTATTTTTCTGTCAAATTGAGATGAATTACCACTTCTGTCTGTAAATGAAATTTGTTTTGAAGTTAAGTCAATTTGGAATGCCAAAAAATTGAAATGTGGATTTAAATATATATTTTTATAATTTATTTTTGTTTAATTAAGTTATGATTTCATTGAATTCTAATAACAAGAAATAGATTAAAGAAGATTTTTTGATTTACTTTTTTCACTTTATGTTAATTCAAGAAAAATTTTTAGGATAGTTGTATAAAAACCCCATTTATCATTAATTCTGAAAAAGTTCTTTTTGTAACTTAAGAAGAAAATGATGAGAGAGGTACAATTAATCCCTTGGGATTAATTATCTAGCCTGCTGCAGAAAATTTAGTAGGCTTTTCTTTATCTGTCACTTTAAGATTAATGAAAACCTTTGTCTGCAACTGCTGTTTGTTTGAAGTTAAGGTTTCATGATATTTGCATTCATTGAAGGCTTTTTATATAACACAAGCTTCATAATTGTTTAAATATACATTCAATGCTAAGTTGTTCTTTACTGCCTAATGTAAATACAAGCTTTTTGAATATTTAGGGATTATCTTGAAAGTTTAAGAATACAGTTGCTGTTGCTTATACTTCATATTTTTTAACTTTCCTTCTGGCGGGGCCCTTGCTGACTGGTCAGTTTTCTAGTTTGGATCGCATTTGGTTGCGTCTGAATATTGTGCATGCTCAGTACTTTGAGAAGACTTGATTCGACCACTAAAAGGCATGCAACGAATGCATGAGAGGTCGTGCGAAGCTTGAACATTCCGATTGCAAAGTGTTGTAAAGTGCTTGTAAGCCTATTGTGAAAGTATTTTTTTCAACATTCCTGCAAGCTTTATGTAATTCTATACAAAAAATTTGAATGTGTGAAATACGTTTGTTTAACTGGATATGTTTGTTCATTAATCCTATAGAGAAAAAAAAAAACTAGTCTTAAAAATTTTCACTCTAAAGAATTGTTTTTACTTGAACCTTGTCGGGGATATGAAAGAGTTTAAGGAAGGTTGGATTACTTGCAGCGAGTAGCAAAAGCTTTTGTCTAATAATGAGGTCGACATTCCATAAACTTTCCTTCTAATTCAAGAGCAATGGCGTCTTCAGAACTGAACTGTAGGAGCAAAGAAGACGTTTCCAAATGTACGATCTGTTTGGAACAGTTTAAAACACCGCTTGTCTTGCCATGCTCGCACAAATTTTGTCATGATTGCATTATCTACTCATATTGTATCCAGTTGTCAATCGAAGGAGGATCCAATAGGATTTCAATGCCCGAAATGCAGAGAATTTGTGCCCGCTCCTAGTTTCTCTTTAAATGTTAAAAATTGGAGTAAACATTTACCAATCAATAAACTTCAAGAGGATAATTTGTATAAAACAGAAACTGTGACGTTTTGTGAAGCCTGTGTGAGAGAAAATGAAATGGAGGAGGCGGATAACTATTGTTTGTCTTGCTGTGAAGCACTTTGTGATATCTGTAGTAAGTGTCACAGGAAAAATTTGATGTCTCGTGATCACAAAATCCGCCGTCTTAATGAGTTGTCCAAAATATCTACAGAAACTCCTTGCACCAAACATAAAGATCAACCAATTCAGATGTTCTGCAATGATTACGAGGAACTGTGTTGTGCTATGTGCTGCAAAAACATACACAGAATATGTGAAAGTGTAGAACCTATTGAACAAAAAGCAGAAAAGATCAAAAGCAGTGCATCGGTAGGAATGTTATTACATGGCATTAAAGAATTCGATAGAAAACTTTATGAGGCAAAACAAAACCAAGAAAAAACCATAACAAAATTAGAAGATGACACAGATGCTTTAACAGGCGAAGTCCAAAGTCTTAAAGAAAAACTTATTCAAAATCTTGAAAAGCTAGAGAAGGAATATATAGACCAAATTTTCAGACAAAGAGAAACGTGCAAACAGAAGCTGACAAAGAATATGCTGTACACGCAATTGATGACAGAATTCTTTTGATGAAACTTTGCAGAAAAGATATCACGATTGCTCGAAGTTTGCAAGATGTCACATTTTTGTCCTCACTCCTCAAAACCAAGAAGACATGAGAATATATCGTAAATAAAAAAAAAAAAAGAGAGAAATTTGAATTAATATTTTGGTCTAATATTGACCCTGATTTTAAAGCACTTTCAAATCTTTCAAAAATTGGGAATAATGAAATTATTGAAAACAGAGTAAATTTAGTTCACATATTTTATGCTAAAACCTTGCAGTTATGCCAGGAAATAGAACTGCCTGATAGCAGCATTCGCAGCGTATTGTTTGTTTCCAACGCCGTTGTGATGTTCTCTGAATATACCAAAAAGACGGTAAAGAAGTATCCTGCAATTAAAGACAATTGGTATCTTCAAAAGGAGATTGATCTTGATATAAAGCAAAACGGTGACTTTTATTTTGCATCACAAGTTAGATATAAGCAGATTCCAATTCTCTCCATTGATGATTTTCATACAATTGATACAATTTACGTTGATAATTCTTGTTATGGAATTACCTTTTGGAAATCTTTTTTGTATGTTGCCTGTTTTACGTCAATTGTTAAAATGAATACAAAGGGACAGATGTTAAGAACTTTTTCCACATCTGAAGGCGTTCATCATGTTGTTGCTACACGGAAAGGTCGAATTGTTTTCAGTAATACTAATCTAAGTCAAGTGGCTTCCATAACAGATGAAGGTGACTTTGCCTGGAAGTATAAGCACCCTAAGTTGAGACAACCTTATATGGTCTTCACATAGACGGCCTTGGTACAATCTATATAGCAGGGATAAAAAGTAACGATGTTTTTTTATTGGCTGATGGTGGATCTCTCCTACATATCATTGAAAATATACAGGAACCAATAACTTTCGTATTAAACAAGGACAAAAATGGCTGTTGTGTAGCGTGTTTCAGTGGAGTTAAGATGTACAGACTTAAGTAACATACAGTTTAGGCCTATGTTGAATCATGTTTTGTTTGAAAAGAGAATAGAAAATAAAAACAAACTGACAGGTAAACTGTGTAGGTTTGGTACAATTCTTTTGAAAAATAATATTCTAAAAATAACAAAATTTAAAATATTTAGACTTTTATTGATTACATGCAAACCTTCACTGTAGCTCAGTCAATAATATACAGTTAGTGGGATTTTTCTAAAAAGCGTATATTTGCTTATATGCTTTAGGATCATTTAAAAGTTTTTCTTTTCTCATCACAATTGTACAACTTTTAATAGAAACGGTAAATTGTGTTCGGAAACTAGCAAGAACTATATTTTTTTGCGGAATGGTGGCGTATGAAAATATCTTCTTTCCTCAAAATTTTTATAGCACTGCACTTCAAAGTGGAAGTTGTAAGTCTTTTTGGATGAGATCTTACAAACGGAAAATATAGATCAAATAAATATGATTTTCCAAACAAACTACAATTATGTTAGCTTTTAAAAGCTTCCTATCTAAGTACAGATATGGGCCAAAAATCCATAGACAGTGTTTTTACTCTCTTAGTAAACGGTGAAAACTTTTTGTTTTTGTATCATTTTGTATCTCTATAGGACTTCTTTACCATATGTGAAAATAAGAAAAAAATTAAATACTGCATAGGGCGCATATAAAAATAACTTAAATATCCTAAAAATTTAAGAAAAATAGAATTTGGATTAGCCAAAATCCATTTTTTCTAAACTATCTGTGTCAGTTTGGTAATTTCATCTTATAGACCCTATATGGTAATATCTTTTTATGCAAAAAGAAAAACATTTAATCTTGTGAAACAGAAGACTTTATCGCATGATTGGATGCGGTCATTTTTATTCTTAATGTCCAGGGAAAACTTGACCTGACCTTGACTCTAATATAAAACAGTCAAAACTAATCTAACTGATATCATCACTTAGTAATATTGTCTTCTTGATTCTGTGAAAATTTCATTAATTTTTAAATTTAAGAAATACAGTTTTGTGTGAGAAGAATCCTACTTTAACAGAATTCCCTTGTACATGTATATTGTTCACACACAAAATGGTGACTACATGTTACTAAAGAAACATAAGCATTACCTTTTGAAATCTCTGCCCTTTACTGACAAGAAATCGAAGATAACATGTTTTCTAGAAACCATAGTTTTTTAAAAATACTGAACAATTTTACTTTTTAAATTTATTTTTTATTTGAAATGGAGATTCTATGTGCTAAAACTTGTTGAGAAACCGAACCAAATGGAAAGAAAGACGTACTGCGTAGAAGAAGAAAAAAATAGTTTTAATTTCACATTACCTCAGATAGGATTTTGAAACAAAAGGCCCATGGGCCACATCGCTCACCTGAGCACTGTGGCTTGGGGAAAGTAGAAATTGGTTTATTATTGAATACTGTAAAATGACACATTTTCGTGCGTCAAATTTTCGTGGTTTGAGTAAAAACTCTCGGTTCGTGGGGTTTTGAATTCGTGGATGAGTAGTTGTTAAGTAGTATTGTATGTTGCATTTTACACTTCGTGATGAATATGAATTTGTGGGTCTCTTCATACCTCGAAAACAACGAAAAATTAAACCCCCACGAAAACTGTGATTTCACAGTAGTTTATACCCAAAAGTAGTCCCATGACCAATCATGGCTTTGCTATTCTTGATAGGGTGATATTTAAAGAATTTTCCTATATATGTCTATGTAAAACTTTGGTCGGCCATTGTGGCCCCGCCCTACCCCCGGGGGTCATGATTTGAACAAACTTGAATCTACACTACCTGAGGATGCTTCCATATAAATATGATCAATTATGGCTTTGTTATTCTTGAGAAGAAGATTTTTAAAGAATTTTCCTATATATGTCTATGTAAAATTTTGGCGGCCATTATATCAAAGGGGTCATGATTTGAACAAACTTGAATCTACACTACTCTTCCATATAAATATGATCAATTATGGATTTGCTATTCTTGAGAAGAAGATTTTAAAGAATTTTCCTATCTATTTCTATGTAAAACTTTGGTCAGCCATTGTGGCCCCGCCCTACCCCCGGGGGTCATGATTTGAACAAACTTGAATCTACACTACCTGAGGATGCTACCATATAGGTATGATCAATTATGGCTTTGTTATTCTTGAGAAGATTTTTAAAGAATTTTCCTATCTATTTCTATATAAAACTTTGGTCGGCCATTTTGGCCCCGCCCTACCCCCGGGGTCATGATTTGAATAAACTTTATTCTACACTACCTGAGGATGCTTCCATATAAATATGATCAATTATGGCTTTGCTATTCTTGAGAAGAAGATTTTTAAAGAATTTTCCTATATATTTCTATGTAAAACTTTGGTCGGCCATTTTGGCCCCGCCCTACCCCCGGGGTCATGATTTGATTTAACTTGAATCTACACTACCTGAGGATGCTTCCATATAAATATGATCAATTATGGCTTTGCTATTCTTGAGAAGAAAATTTTTAAAGAATTTTCCTATATATTTCTATGTAAAACTTTATATTGTGGCCCCGTGTGGGTCATGATTTGAACAAATTTGAATCTACACTACCTGAGGATGCTTCCACATAAATATTATGAATTATGGCTTTGGTTTTCTTTAGAAGAAGATTTATCAAGAAATTTCCTATATATTTCTATGTAAAACTTTTGTCGGCCATTGTGGCCCCGCCCTATCCCCGGGGGTCATGATTTGAACAAATTTGAATCTACACTACCTGAGGATGTTTTCCCATAAGTTTCATCTTTCCTGGCACAGTGGTTTTTGAGAAGAAGATTTTTAAAATATACTTTTTTAATCCCCATTTATTTTTTATTGAAATGTGAGATTCTACCTAAGGATGCTTTGTGGCAAGTTTGGTTGAAATTGGCCCAGCGGTTCTTGAAAGAAGTCAAAATGTGAAAAGTTTACAACAACGACAACGACGACACGACGACAACGACGAAGAAACGATACAAATTGTTAATTTCACTTTACCTCAGATAGGATTTTAAAACTAAAGATTAAAAAAAACACAAGTAATAAATATCTTTCTTCCTTTTTAAAAAAATCTGTCTTCCTTTCAATTTGAATTACATCGGATTGTAGGAAATATAATGTTTCTAATTTTAAAGAGGTCTCTCAGAATTCAAAGTTATTTTATCAAAACAAGTCTAATGAAATCTAAAAAGCAATCAAGCAATGAAAAATTAAACCAGCATCAAAATATACAAATTTACTTTAGATAATATACTGTATACATGGAAATTTTGCCCCCGTTTTATTTTCACCCCTTTCGCCCTTGTCACAAGTGAGCGAATTTAAAACGGGGCGAATTAAAAGAAAACGGTATAAATTCATAAACAGTATCGTTCTTGTAGAGTAGGCTTTCCCCCCTAAAATCTTTCCCCCGGAAAACTGGCTCTAGAGTAGGATTTCCCCCCAGGAAAACTGGCTCTAGAGTAGGATGAGAATATTTACATTTCTTTTGAAATCTAAATATTTTGGTTGAGATTCCATATGATTTGAAAGATATGCTTAGAAAATTCTTATAACATAGGTCGAAAAAACACTCATTTACCTTTAAAAAATCAGTTTTTCATTTATCTTTTTTTCACAAAAATATTGCGGCTGTTGTTGATATTTACATAAGAACACATTATAAATTCATAAACATTACTTTCCGGGACTGGCTATGAAACCCTTCAAAACGAACTAGGTTAAAACGGGGCAAATTTGTAAGTATGCAAGTGTAAAAGGGCGAACATAACACGGGGCAAAAATAACCCTGTATACAGTATACTCAGAAAAAAAGTTGAACCTCCCAGTCCCCTCTCCTGAAAAAAGGAAATTTAGGAAGGTCCGATTACTTATATTTCCTGGTCGTCTAATAACGAGATCGGCATTCCATATGTTTTTTCACTTTCGTTTTAATTTCAAGTTAAAAATATAGGGGCGTATTCAATGGTAGACCAGGAAGAAATGAGCAAAGAGGGTGTTTCAAAATGCCAAAT